GTACCTTCCATTTTTTCTACACTTCCTCTGCTATAATATAGAAAATTTAAATTAATAGACTCGTATTCCAAATTCAAATAAAGAACGTGTGATATAAATACTAGGCCTATATATCGATTCTACTAGACTTACCTGTTATTTGAAATTTAACACCTGTAGCCATCCATAAACGTTGTTTAAATACAGTGTCTTTATACATGATACTGATGTGGTCGAACGAATTCAATAAACTCCTCTATTTTTCCAGACCGTCACAATTGTATGATAAATCCTCATTGCCGCCATTGTTAGAATAAAAACCACGTGTCTACTTCGACGTCACAGGAAAGACTTCTCTTTATTGGAGGAATTTTGGCGTAAAAATTTTTCGGCGTAAAAAGTAGAGACATGCTCTACTTTATTTTCAGTTCTGTTTCAGCCAAAATTTCAGAAAAATTTTTACGTTTTCCGTTTTATGCTAGATTTTACGCCGAATTTTACGCATGTGTGTTCCTGGTTTTATGTGAGCAGTTCTGTTCGAACAGTTGGAGTAGAGAATATTGTAAGTTACTGCTAGCAAAACAATGCGAAATATGTAATTATTTTCGGTAATCCGGACACTTTTGGTAATCTGACACACCTTTGGTCCCATACCTGTCGGATTATCAAGGGACAACTGTACTTCTTAAGTAGAAATAAGTCGAAACCGGTTACTTTGTACTCGAATATTTGTAGTCTTGGGAAAAAAAATGGAAAGACAAATTTTTATGACAAACGGATACATAAATCGTAAATTTAAGGAAAAGAAATTCTACAGATTTTTCTGTACCTCGTGCATCTCTCTCATTCGTTAAATTTAGTTGTAAATGACACTGTCGAAGTAACGGTTAATTTTTTAACATTATACAAGAATTATACACGTTTTTTTCTACATCCCCTTAGAGATGGGACATACGAAATCGTAATATCGCCGGTTTAACATTGAAATCCGCGAGTAATATAAAATCGGAGAGCGGAAAAAATATATCAAATATTTTAATGGATTTTTTTAACTCCCGTCAACTATACAGAACTATCGTAAAAACGTACCAGTAAATTCTTATCGGTTGGGTCAAGTTATAAATCTACTCGTTATTCACGTAATCGAATTATCTAGTGGGCAGGCGGCTAACAGCCGAGAACCGGTCCTTGATAGAATTGGAATCGTTATGTGTGCAGCTTCCACCGGCTAAACTGGGTGAGTTGGTGCTCAGTAAAGCGCATGCGCAAATCTGGCTTTTTGGAATCTGACGATACAGAGATTCCACTCCGTCACTAATATTCGAATATACAATAGCCATCTTATTATTTTTTTTCACGTGTAGTATAGAAATTTGTAATAAGATACGTAATGCGGTTATAATAAAATATTGTGCGATTATTTTCATATAATTAAAATTAATATGTATTTATTTTTTTATAAAATACAAGGGAAGCGGCGCTTCCACCGCTTCTAATGACGGCATGCCACTGAAGTCGCAATGATGATTGCTTTGTAGAAACTTTGTAGCAGAAGTAAAATTAGATGAAGTATTGCCGAAACATGGAAAACTGTCTTACTTCCAAACAAAGAGAGCGATTCGGACGTTCTCTCGTCCCGTGATCCCTGTTGAGGTTGACATTTAGTTCCCCAAATAACAGCTAGATGAAAGCGCGTTAACCATGAATAAACAGACGTCCCCATCTTGCACCACCTTCCCCTAATAACTCGATATTTTAAATTCAATAGTTTTGTTTATTATTTTGTGTAAACACTTAATATTAAATAAAAATAATTAATGGAGATAAAAAGAAATAATATAGTGGAAGAAACAGCATTAAATAGCACATCTTCGGAATTTGTCAAATTTTCTTTTATACGGTAGTCTCAATTATCCAAGATAATACTATCTTGGATAATTGAGACTACCGTATCCAACGTTATTTCAGATAATCAAAAACTGTACAACATGGAATACTAGTTGTATTCAGTAAAATATTTTCTGTAAAAGCTTGTTAAATTACAAATAAGTGGAAAAGGAAATTTATTTACATAAAATTTATTAATACGACTTTTTAAATTTCTCGGTATGCAACATTATTTGTATAAATATTTTCACAACTAAACGTTCCATTTTTGCGTACAAATTAAATCGATGGCATTAAATGTAATTTTTCGTTTTTCGTCTACCTGTAAGAGTTTGTCTTCGTTTAGGCGTCATTTTATTCGAAAGAATTGCTTTCAATCCTGCCAAAATTTAATTTATAATAATCTTTTCGTTAATAACATAATAATCAAAAATTAATAAAAGAATATAAATTCGAATAGTTATTTTCGGAAGCGTTTTTTATACTAGATGGAGGCAAGTTCAGTAGCCGGAATGGTAGGGAGGAAAGCCTTTACGGCTAGAGGAAAATTGGGAATATTTTCGTTTCTGATTCT